ATTGGCTACAAGAAGAAGGTGGCCCCGCCCTCCCCCTCACGTGCAAAACTCAGTTAGTGAGAGAACAGTGCCAAAATTGTAAGCGCAGAGAAAAGAAAGACGGAGCTGTACATATCGGTTTATTTCGGGAACTTTTTGCCCCGCATGCACAACAAGTCATTTAGACATTTGCAACAGTTAGTTTTTTTACACATTCAGATTGGTTCTATGCAGTCAATCCGTTTTGCAGTTCTTTAAACTGTTGTTTTCGCTTGCAAAGCACAGGCTTGGAGTGCTTTTGGCGAAAAAAACGTGCCAAAAGTGTACGCGCGGAAAAATGGAAGTCAGAAGCATGTAGATCATATTTATTTTGCGTTAGCATGAAGCTGCAGTTTCACAATACATGAATTACACTTACGAGTAACAGTAAAACGCTGCAAATAATTTTTTCTTGCGCTTGAAACACGAGTTACACCTTCACAAAGCTTCTCTTGCGCATGCAAATTTAATTGACGCTTACAGTCTTATGTACACTTCCACAACTCTTACCCTGCGTGTGCAAATCTTTTTGACGCCATTCTACCTTCATAATAATAGTGTGACTATTTCAATTACTTTATTAAAGTAATGTAACTGATTACATTTGATTGCTTTTTGATTACTTTTACGAATGTTTATCATTTTGAAACATTTCAACCAGACAGGGTTAACCTTACAGTAGTACTCAACACTGATTACTGTCAGACTTCACACCATCTCACCTTATTCTCACCATCTCCATGCAAATCTGAAAGAGCTGTGGGAAATAACAGCAAGTATGAGCTAGTGAGTTTGGTGGAAACCGCGGACATGTAACCCTAAGTGAACGTGCAAGTTCATGCAACAGTGACTCACCAATGCAAGAGGAAAAGGTGTATAGGTTGGCGACTGGGTCATAGTGAGCATCAAGCCATTTGGAGCTGGCCACTGAACTACAAGAGCACAGGAAAAACTTACTACAAACAGACCATATTAAAAATCATCACTGCATATGAATTCATTTCTATGCACTGGTTTTGAAAACACTTCAACTCTGTTGTATTGCTGTGCCGCATAAGCTCTACTGCTATTATAAAATGATTTACTTATGAATTATTACATTGTAAGGAAATTATATACTATATCAATATGCTAACGCCAATCGTTATTTACCGCGATATTTTCGAGAGAACGCCTCATAAATCAGCATATAGCTACTCACGTGTCTTTCAGCTCCTGGGAACCAGAGGACATGACGGTTTTGATATTTGATATAAAATGCTTTTTATTAATGATTTTAGGCTGAGATAATCAAACTGCTTGGACCGTCTGCTGTAATCCTCAGCTCGGCTTTCCTCGTTCCTGTGGCAACCACTCCAGCGGGAGAGCTTAAGAGCGCTACATCGAAACACTTCCGACAGGAATTGTTCATCTTAACGAATAGTTCCGAATTTAAGGGATCCATGTTTTTACGGATCGTCAGAGCAATAAAACGTACAGTAGTGTGAAAAAGTGTTGGTCCCCTTCCTGATTTCTTATTTTTTTGCATGTTTGTCACACTTTAATGTTTCAGATCATCAAACAAATTTAAATATTAGTCAAAGATAACACAAGTGAACACAACATGCAGTTTGAGAAAAGAAAGACGGAGCTGTACATATCGGTTTATTTCGGGAACTTTTTGCCCCGCATGCACAACAAGTCATTTAGACATTTGCAACAGTTAGTTTTTTTACACATTCAGATTGGTTCTATGCAGTCAATCCGTTTTGCAGTTCTTTAAACTGTTGTTTTCGCTTGCAAAGCACAGGCTTGGAGTGCTTTTGGCGAAAAAAACGTGCCAAAAGTGTACGCGCGGAAAAATGGAAGTCAGAAGCATGCAGATCATATTTATTTTGCGTTAGCATGAAGCTGCAGTTTCACAATACATGAATTACACTTACGAGTAACAGTAAAACGCTGCAAATAATTTTTTCTTGCGCTTGAAACACGAGTTACACCTTCACAAAGCTTCTCTTGCGCATGCAAATTTAATTGACGCTTACAGTCTTATGTACACTTCCACAACTCTTACCCTGCGTGTGCAAATCTTTTTGACGCCATTCTACCTTCATAATAATAGTGTGACTATTTCAATTACTTTATTAAAGTAATGTAACTGATTACATTTGATTGCTTTTTGATTACTTTTACGAATGTTTATCATTTTGAAACATTTCAACCAGACAGGGTTAACCTTACAGTAGTACTCAACACTGATTACTGTCAGACTTCACACCATCTCACCTTATTCTCACCATCTCCATGCAAATCTGAAAGAGCTGTGGGAAATAACAGCAAGTATGAGCTAGTGAGTTTGGTGGAAACCGCGGACATGTAACCCTAAGTGAACGTGCAAGTTCATGCAACAGTGACTCACCAATGCAAGAGGAAAAGGTGTATAGGTTGGCGACTGGGTCATAGTGAGCATCAAGCCATTTGGAGCTGGCCACTGAACTACAAGAGCACAGGAAAAACTTACTACAAACAGACCATATTAAAAATCATCACTGCATATGAATTCATTTCTATGCACTGGTTTTGAAAACACTTCAACTCTGTTGTATTGCTGTGCCGCATAAGCTCTACTGCTATTATAAAACGATTTACTTATGAATTATTACATTGTAAGGAAATTATATACTATATCAATATGCTAACGCCAATCGTTATTTACCGCGATATTTTCGAGAGAACGCCTCATAAATCAGCATATAGCTACTCACGTGTCTTTCAGCTCCTGGGAACCAGAGGACATGACGGTTTTGATATTTGATATAAAATGCTTTTTATTAATGATTTTAGGCTGAGATAATCAAACTGCTTGGACCGTCTGCTGTAATCCTCAGCTCGGCTTTCCTCGTTCCTGAAACATTAAAGTATGACAAACATACAAAAAAATCAGGAAGGGGGCCAACACTTTTTCACACCACTGTATTTTTTAAAATAACATTTTATTTTCTTCTGGAATCATTCTAACATGCTGGTTTGGAGCTCAAGACACACTTATTATTATAAGAGTTGAAAACAGTTGTTCTGCTTCAAAAGTTTCGTGTAAAATTATATTTTATTCAGCATTTAACATTTCTATTTTAAATAAATGCAGAGTTCCATGAACTTTCTATTCGCCGAAGAATTGAAAATAAAAACATGTTTTCCACATGAAGCAGCAAAAAACTGTTTTCAACTCTGACAATAATAAGAACTATTAATAACTGAACACCAATAATAATAGAAGAATTAAGCACCAAATTAGCATAGAATGATTTCTGAAGAATCATGTGACACTGAAGACTTAAGTAATGATGCTGAAAATTTGGCTTTGCATCACAGGAACAGCAATTGCATTTTCAAAAATATATTCAAGTATCATTCTTACAAAATAAGTGTCTTTTGTGTCCCTAATAAAATAATCATACATAGAATTAATATAACAACAAATAAATTTGCGATTTAAAAAAAAACTTAATAGCCTATTGTGTATTCTTTCATCAATATTATTCATCAAAAAAGTCAATTAAATATTATTTTAAATAATTTAAATAGCATTTATCTTGATAACAAGGGTAAGGTTGTTGGCCTCTATTTTTGATGATTTATGAGGCTTGACTGAGGGGGGCATCATGCAGCGTCATTACTGTTACAATTTTTAAAATGTAAATTTAAACAATTATTTATTACATTTAGTATAATCAATATCTACAAGTAACACCCTTTCAAAGTGTACAACATGTGCTTTTGTGAATTAGCTAGCAATTAGTCAATTTGTTTGAAATCGTCAAACTTGTTACTGTCAACCTGTTACTTTTTAAAGTAACAGGTTTTGATATGTAGGTAACAGGGATGACATAAATTAGGTGTCACTTTAAAGATTGTCTTTGTAAAATTCAAACATTTAAAAGATTACACTCTTTATATTATTGAGCTAATGTCTATATCATTCAGTGGCATATGTGCATCAGTTAAATTTTTAGTTAGCATCATTTGTATTGTTACTATTACTATTATTGTTGTTAATGACCAAGATAAAATGAACTCATTGTTTTCCCCATAACTCATTGTTAATAATGCATCCATGTTAATTCAATTACAAATAAGAGCAGCACGGTGACTACAGACTCTCACCCCAGTCTTGCAGTGTTCAAGAAAGTGAAACCCAATTTCAGCATCAAGAACTTGGTATAGTTTCAGATGAGGTTATAGATCTGACCATCTTCCTTGCCTAATAATTGAACCAGATCTCTTAGAAATGTAATGTGTTAAATCAACAATGACTGTTTTCAAAATCAAAAATTGATTTTACTATTGTCATACAACTATGCCAAGTAAGTGCAAAACAATATAATGCAATTTAAAATGGTAAAACTTTACAGTATTTTAAACTAATATGCGCAGTGTGCTGAAGAATGTGTGTCCTGTCATCCATGCTACTCTGTCAATCCTATTTCTATCATCAATTTCATAAAAATTGTAAAAATGATATTTGATACAGCCTTCCAGGTTTTTCCATTGTAACTTTAACTATATTTTATTTTGGACATCACTATTTTTTAACATCTCTCTTGTAAAAATATTTATATTTTCTTAACTGGTATGTGGTCACCCTCCAAAATTAGGATGTTCTTAAAAAGGCACCGATTTCGTGGAATGACCCTCAAGTAAAAAACATTAATTATATATAGTCATATTGTAATAATATTTCACAATATTACTGTATTTTTTTTATCAAATAAGGACTAGAGAGACAAAACATAGAAAAACATTATATATTTGCATATTTGTATAATAACCCTATTATTATTGTATAATACATACAAAACAATGAAATCAAATGAAATTAAGTATCAAAATTTATTTTGTACCCCACTCATGAAAAGTGCTGTTTATGATTGTATCGAATACGTTAATTAACCACATTTGATTACTTGCACTGGATAAAAAGTTAATACTTAAAAGGATTAAAAAAAAAACATATAGGCTGCATATAAAATTCCTTTTTTATTATTTCCCAATTTTGTTTTTACTGTGTCACATTTCTTACAAATTCCAAAGCCATAAAAAAGCAATTTTTAGTCAACTGAGAGATGTACACAATGTTTCTGATCAGGCAAATACATAAAAAAACATAATGTTCACAGAAACGTAAGAGGGGCTCCCAATTTCTCATCTCCAAGGTAGCGTTTAAGGAATTTGCGTACTTCCGGACTGAAAAGACTTGTATGGTAATCTCTAGTGTGTGAATCAGACTTAGGCTTCCTGGTGTTCTTGCACAGGTCCTTCACTCCCCAGCTGACAATACCCACCTGTTCAAGATTATTCAGATATTATTAAAACAAACATCTCTCAAATTAGACATGAATAACAAGAATTTAGTCTTCTGAAGAATGATGCATATTATTTGAAATGGCTCAGTGTACTGTTAAAAGGAATTAAGCAAACATGAGAAGTGATTCAAAAACACACCTGCACCATTCGATTACCAGGAACCACAAAAGTGGCCCCACCAGAGTCACCTGTTGATGACATGCACAACATTCTGAGTTCAGATCTTTTAGCAAATTCAATTTATTAAGAATAGGGACATTAAGGATATGACATTTTATGATGATTCTAATAGTATCATGGTAGATTACTGCCAAATAGTATGTCCCTTTTCAAAAATCCAAACTCACCTTTGCAGGCAATATCATCTACATTAGGTTCAATACCACCGCTGCACAGAAAATTATCTGTAACGATATCTTTAGCATTTTTCGCAGTAATTCCGTCAGCTTTTTTGGCATCTTCAACACAAGCATCCCGCTGAAGAAAAGGGACATATCAATTTTAGACAAAAGAAATTCAGAACTGTTGAGCAAAGCATGCATTTAATTAGGCTTTTTGCTTATGTTCATTACTCCTTTGAGTTCCATTACTAAAAAATCAAGCCGTGATATGAAACCACACTAATGAAACCACAAATTAATACAAATAAAAAGAGAGCAAGACAGTGTCCACTATACAACATATCATTACCCATTTTCCCTGCTTGATTGTGATTTGTTTCTTCTCAATGCTTTTTCCCATGACCGACATGAAAGAAGCTTTCACAGTTTCTGCACTCATTAGCTCTTCCTCTGTAAAAACATAGTTAAATGTAAATAAAATATATGTTGTATTTTAGCAATGCAAGTTTTTTTTATATAATATTTTGTATTGCCACTCATTAATGTAAAACATTATATCAACTGTTCTATTTAAAATTGTATTTTGACAATTTAGTAGAATAACTTAATAACTGATAACAGATAAAGCAGAATTCAAAGAGATTTATCTGAAAGGTAAGTTTATCGTTTATATACAGGCATTGTCACGAATCCTGTCCATGGACTTCCATTCATTCACCACCAGA